AATATATTTTTGGGAGACAAGCTAGGTCACTACAGTAATTATGATACGGATACATATCACCACAAGTTACAGCCTCTCTTGCAATAAGGTCAGCTTTGTCATTGCCGCTAATACCACTGTGTCCTGGTAACCAGGCAAAAGAAACGGAATACCCTCTCAACATGCAAAGATAAAGACTTTGTCTTATGTCACAAATAATGGGATAAACTGGTTTTGATTTAAACGGATATTTGGCTAGAGCTTGCAAAGAGCTCATAGAGTCAGTGAAAACTATTGCCTTATGTAATTTCATTAAAAGTATATATTCTACAGCTTTTAAAATACCATAGCATTCCCCGGTAAAAACTGAAGATTCCGGTGGAAGTTTAATTTTTTGAACGATATTAAATTGTGAATGAAACACACCCACACCTACACAACCGCTATTGTCTGGTTTTGATGCATCAGTAAAGATGTAGTGCCATTCATTCCATTCAATGTCAGTTATAAACATAAATTTGGCATTCAATTCTGAATCATTTTTTGATAACCCAAAATCATATTTAATATTAGGAGATAAAACTAAAGATTGATATGAGCATTTATAAATGGGAAAACAGGACGATGTAAAAGTGGGAGATTCTATGGATTTATATTTTTCATAACTTTGTATTAAACATGGAGGTTTTTTATGTTTCCAATAAGATGAAGACGAAATAAAGATATGTAGTTGAGATAACTTTTGAATAAGCGGATGATCAGATAATTGTAAACAACGAAAAAAGAAGCGATCAGATAGATATTGCCTTCTTAAAACCAAAGGTGGATCACCGACTTCACAAATGAACTTCCTGGAGCTAACAAAAAAGTTCCATAATCAATGACACTCCTTATAAGACCATTATAAGCAAGTTTTAATGAAACGGGATGTGCTCCCCACCAAACTCCAGCAAGGCACCTAAGAATGTTGAGGTTACGCTCACATTTCGTAGAAATATAATTACAGTGGGACAGACCTGTTAATTTATTATCTAGCACGATACCTAAAAATTTAATTTCAGTCTTTATAGGAATGTATGAGTTATCATAAAGCACCTTAATTTGTTGCGGTGATCTCATTCTTGAAAACAAAACTACACTACTCTTGGTTACAGAAAGATTAAGACCATTTACATCTAACCACGTTTTTAACAAATCTAATGAATCAGATAATTTGGCAGAAGCAGATTCTATGGACTTCGCAATAAAATATAATAAAAGATCATCAGCATATTGTAAAATTTTGACGGATTTATCAAGGAATAATTCTAGATCGTATGTGTATATGTTAAATAAGATTGGACTGAGAACAGATCCTTGTGGAAGGCCTTTCCATACAGTTCTAGATAATTTGGTATCTTCATCTAAATCCATATGTATTGTTCTTTCTGATAAAATATTAATAATGAAATTAGAAAGCATTACCGGTACATTTAGAGCTTGTAATTTAGTTTTTAAAATAGAAATTATTACATTATCATAGGCAGAATTTATATCTAAAAAGGCTGAGAGGATTGACAAATTTTGTGAGAAAGCTATATGAATATCTGAAATAAGAATGCTCACATTATCTAAGGTGCTCTTACCTTTCCTAAAACCAAACTGGTTCGGGGATAGTAAGTTATTACTTTCTAAAAACCATTCTAGACGGTTTTTCACTAAATGTTCAGCTAGCTTTAGTAAGACAGAGGAAAGTGCAACAGGACGGTATGATGATGGTTCAGAAGGTGGTTTATGAGGCTTTAGAAATGGTATAATAATCTGAGACTTCCATGAAGTAGGTATATTTCCCGAAATAATTATGGAGTTAATTATATTTAAAAAGTAAATTAATGTCGCATCGCTAGCATTTTTAAAAAAGGAATACGGTATACCGTCTTCTCCCGGTGCAGAGTCTTTAATAGAAGCTAGAACACCTTTAAGTTCTACTAGAGTAAAAGGAGAGTCAAGTTCGAATAATTCGTCAGAGACGGATAGAGAAATATTGTAAAGGCATTCCGGCACATAACTAGGAGCAAGGCGATCTAAAAATTTATTCGCTAAAGTTAAATCGAGTGCAGAACGTGATGTATGATCACTAAAGGCAGATCTGAATCTTTTAATATTATTCCAAACGACTGATGAATTAACTTCTGGACAGATAGAAGAACAAAATCTTCTCCAGCCTTCTAATTTCTTTTTTTTCAGTAGTTTTCGAGTAGAACGTGAAACTGCGGTGTAAATTTCAAATTTTTCTGGTGTCATGTAATTATTATAATTTTTTTCAGCCTCTTTACGATTTTTAATTGCTTCCGTACAATCTTTGTCCCACCAAGGTGGGGAGGGAATTTTCCCTGAAGCACTATTTTTAACAGGAAATAATAAATCAGCAACCTCCTTCATATTTATCATCAAGTCATTACAACATTGATGTTCATTTCCATGGTAAACAATAGGTAACTCCGATATTTTATTATCTAAATATTGTTTGTAAATATTCCAGTCTACATTTGATAAATTATATTTAAGCCGAGGACCACTCTTTCGACTTGAGGGAATGGAAATTGGAAAAGAAAGAATGAGGGGAAAGTGATCGCTTCCGAAGGTAGAGGAATGAGGATACCACGACAGTGAAGAAGCTAAATCAGAAGAACATATTGAAATGTCAGGAGCACTAAACCCTTCATTCGGTGCAGTTCTACGTGTTGGTACATCTGAGTTAATAATACATAAGTTGTAAGTGTCAATTATCGTCAGGAGTTTTCCACCATAAAAATTAGAAGCAGAACTGCCCCACGATTGGTGCTGAGCATTAAAATCGCCCATTACGAGAAAAGGTTTAGGTAAAATTGAAAATAATTGTTCTAGTTGTGAATATATTTGGCATGTAGGATCAGGAATATATAAAGTAACAAAACAGATACCATTTATAATTATAGCAGCTGCATTAATGCCGCTATATACAGGAAGCGAAAAAGAAGAAAAAAGAAGGGAGTTTTTGACCAATATGGCAACACCGCCATATCCGTCAGCTCTATCATCACGGAGACTTGTAAAGCCTGAAATCCTAAAAGGATATCCTGGCTTTAACCAAGTCTCTTGTAGAGCTATTATAAAAGGATTATACTTATTAATCAAATAAGTCTGATTTCTTGTTTGTTATGCTACGACAGTTCCACTGAATTATTAGGACTTTGTAATCCATTGTGAGAAGTTAATAATTGAGAAAATACATTGTAAATGGCATCGTTGGACGGTGGTAAAGTTGTTTGTATCATTTTCGATTGCGATAACACTTTAATAAGCATGAGAATAATATCAAAGATGGATTGATTATTGTCAATATTATTTGATGATAATGCACAACCATTAGAGGGAGCAGGAATATTATATTCCTTAACTATGGCTTCATGGGCAGAATGATCATATCCTTGTTGTGCTTTTTGAGGAGAGCGTGGTTTAAGTGTAACTGTTTTTTTATATGATGATTGAATATGTGGTAATGATGATTTCTCTTTAAGGAAAGAAGATTGAAAATGAGATTTATTGGACGGAGATGATGATGTTAATACATCTGAATATAGTTTAGAAGTGGGAGGATGAAATTTTGATGCTTCAGCATAAGAAACACAACTGTGGGCCATTGTTTCTTTAATGGCTTTCTGACGTGCATATTCAGGACATTTCTTACTAACTGCTGAATGAGAACCATTACACAAGATACAAGAAACATTTTCCTCATCTACTTCACATTTATCACCTGTATGATTTAGCCTGCATTTATAACACCGAGGATTTGAACGACACTGCATCTTGACATGTCCGAACCTACAGCAGTTATAGCATTGGATAGTGGGGTAAATGTACAAATCTACAGTTAATGATGTGTAAAACATAAATACTCTTTTTGGTAATATTTGTCCATCAAAAGTAATAACAATGGTTTCAGTATTAATAAAACTTGGTTGTCCTTCATTAATGGTCTTTTTCTTAATTCTTCTGGTTTTTAGAATTCTCCCACAACCTATAGGTACTGATATATTTTGGATTACTTCCTCTTCTGTCCAATCTTTAGGAATACCCCTCACAATTCCCATACGGGTTACATGGAAAGAAGGTATAAATGCCTTAAAATTATGTGTTTCTAAGTGACTATTATTTAAAAATGCATTTGCATTTTCAAAATTTGAGAAAGAAAGCGATAAACGGTTTCTTCCTATTCTTTTGAGGCTACCATTCACTATATTATTTATCTTATTAGTGTGTAAAAAGCGACCAAATGCAATAGGATGTAATGTAGTGTTATCATTAGGATGTGTTTCATTTTTTTGTACATGAACGACATAAGGAGCTACATCCTCGGCATTGTACAAAGTTCTGCTTAAAGTACTGGGTGGAAAAGCAGGTTTAACAGACTCGGTATTATTTACAACTGGTATTGATACTTGAGTTTGATTCTCATCCTCAATACATTGACAATCACTATCTTTAATTTTAGATTCGAGACCTTTGGTGTGCCTCCTTCGTTTTTTATTGCAATGTTTGCAAATGCGACGTTCGCCACGTACTCGCTTACGTTTAGAACTTGCAATATATCAAAACTATTATTAAATGGGATAGTTATATTTGCAGACACCTGGGGGGTTGTCCCCCCAGGGTCTATAGGTGGATCCATAATGTCTAGTTAATATAGATAATCTACTTACCAATATTTACAGCAACAAACACTATTACTACAAAATATACAATTATATATACAATCTAATACACAATATATAAATAAGACTAATCCTTATATAATTAAAAATAAAATTAATTTAAAGAAGATCAAAAAACACTCCCGCTTTTTTAAACGTTTCCCGCGCTTTTTCCATTTGACATTCCTTCTATGTAATTTCTTGTTTTTAGATAGATAATATACCTTTACCACAGATAATATAAAACCATACCTTTAGACGGTTATATACCTTTAGACATAGACTCTGTAATCTGTGGTTATATATTCTTTGTCAAAGTTAGTTTAGATAAGTGCTTATTATTTTTCTGTCATGTAAACAAAAATTAAAAATAAATAATACTTATATATTCTAAATGAGAAATTATTTTAGATTGATATTGTAAATATTACATTTATATAAGTTTATTTGTGATTTAATTCGATATAAAAAATAAAACGGTTAAGTAATTGAGAAAAAGTAAATTTAGGAAGTTTGCATAAATGTATACATTCTTATATTTCTTGTTTTTTCTAAATATTGTGAATTCATATCAGTCAAATCAAAATGAGGAAACCTGTTCTAGTGATAATATTTGCAATGAAACACACAATAAGTACAGTAAAAGTATGTAACTGTAATTATCTACTTAGTTCAATAGATAAACTCATCTTGATTAAAATTTTGTTAACTCTTGTTTTAGATATCAATGAATGGACTTCAAAGATAAATAAAGAAATACAGATGGCAATCAACAAATATATACCATGTGAAAAAACTAATTGCAGCTGCCACAAGGCAGTCATTGAACATGATCTTAACCCATATCAAGATGGAATAACAAAGGAACTGTTTACTTTAGCTCGTTCAAAAGGGACAAAATATCAGGTTTGGTCTAAATTTGCAATAATTTTATGTGATAAAGTAGAAATCTTGGGGTCTATAAGCAATTCAGATATGTTATCAGAATAATGTGCTTAATTTGCAGATAATAAAAGGTGAATTATACAGGGAGAAAGAGTGTCATTTTCCAGCCCGATGTGCTGGTGTTGAACACTACCTAGGAGCAGTGGCACCAAAATTACCCAATTTAGAATTTATAGTTAATACTAGAGACTGGCCCCAAGTCAATCATGCTTGGGGCAATCGGAAAGCTCCTGTTTTTTCTTTCAGTAAGGTAAATCATATTTTTCTTTACATTTTATGATATACTAGCTTTTACTTTGTATGCAAAACTATGATATGTTTATTGACCAGGATAAAAAGTTGTCAAATTTCATAGTGATCCATTAAGGCCCTATAAGTTAACAAACAAACTCACTTTCACATTTATATTATTAGTAAGGATTATAATAAAAGAAACAAATCCCTTTATGGGCGAAGCCTATGTTTAGCAGTGGGCCGTTAAGGGCTGATATGATTATGGTAATGTCTTTTTTTTATAAAAGAATAAACAGATATGATACAAACATAGTAAATGATTATGTTGATTAGAATCATTGTATACTTGTATAGGTTTCAGTGCAAAAAACAAAAATAACCCTTTTGTTTCTTCTATTTTTAATACTTTCTTCTAATTGTTTTAACCATTGTAGTATAGTGGCCTGTGTGTGTTTATTTCCAGCTTTAGCTGAATGTCTATATACATATATAATGGGAAATTAACAAACTCACTGTTAAAATGAACATAAGTTTTAAAAATAATAACTTTAATTCAGTGGTTTGTATTAATAAAAAGTTGTATATTTCAGACAAATGATTATTATGATATTATGTATCCAGCATGGAGCTTTTGGGAAGGTGGGCCAGCTATTTCACTGTATCCAACGGGTATTGGGCGTTGGGACAAGCACAGAGTGTCAATTTCTTCTGCTGCAGATAAGTGAGTGACAATATAATTTAGGTTATTGTTATACCATAAAATTTAATAATACTCTGTATTATTTCTTCTAATAAAATAAACATTTGTGTGATACCTATTCTATTTATTATTTTTCATATTAAAAAAAAAGGCCATTGCATTTGTTGCTTGCAACAAGTATACAAGTAGTATATAGTACAAGGATCTTTATGTAACTAACCTTCTGAAGATCTGTTTTTTTGTAATTAAAAGATATAAGAGCTAGATAAATCATTACAATTGCCTTCTCAAGCTCAGATACGAAGAACCAGGCAATGAAAATCTGATTGCTTAATCTAGAAGACCAAATTAATTTAGATATGTTCATTTTCTAAATGGCCTCAATTGAGAATCAAACCTTGACCTCATCATGCAAAGCAATGTTTTTTTTTAATGGGTGATAATGGAATGTCAACACCTTCTTCCCCCTTCATAATCGGTATTTATTGGTGGGCACTAGTGAGAGATGATAGGTGGGGATGAAATCAAGTCAGTTAGTCTATTGTGACGAATTTCACAAGAATTAAACACAATGATTACCAGGGCAAACCGCATGGAGGTCGACTTGATAAGGTATATGTTTAGCAATGGTATCGTTAGATCCCATTACTAACAATCGCCTTTCTCGTCCTACTGCTATGTTATAAAGGTCTTACTACTATATACTCTTACCATCAGGTGGGCCGTATGCTTGTTTGTCACCTCAGTGGTATAAAAAAAAGGTCAACGAGTTATAGTATAACCATATTCTTAAACTATCAATATATCAATTAGTCAAACCTAACAGGTAGCTATGACTAACAAATTTCTTATTTTTGTTTAATATTATTAGATGGACCTGGGATAAAAAGGAAGAAATCGCATTTTTTCGTGGTTCTAGAACAAATGAAGAACGAGATGCTTTGATATTACTGTCTCGCTCAGATCCTGATCTTGTTGATGCAAAATACACAAAGAATCAAGCTTGGAAGTCAGATGCGGTAATTTTAACTCTTATTGGTTCATTGTAATGCAAGTCGCCAAAAATATTACATAATGTGAATTGTCAGAGAATTACATAGATTAGAAAGAAAGAAAGAAAAAAAAACATTTATTGCCGACATATTAAAACATACAATATTTTTATATGTATTATTTGATCCTATGTAATTTTAAATAACAGCAAAATAAAAACATAGTTTTACGATGAACATATATATTTATTTATTTATACTTTATTGTACACAAAAAATTACAAACATATATTAAATAAAGATGTACAATAGGCGAGCTTAACTCTGTAAGTTCTCTTCCAGCAATCATATATATATATTAATTCATTAATAATAAATAAGAAATCATCATCATCATCATCATCACCTTCATCATATTAGCCGTTACTTGTCCATTGTCAACTGCTGCTACTGCTGCCTTCCCTATTAAGGGGGGTCGGCAACCGCAGTTAAGCTTTGGTGATAAGAGGTTTTAACGCTGCTGGCCATCCATCCCTTTGAAAAGTGTGTTAATTAAATAACAAATGTATTTGATTACTTATATAGTGATTTAATATATCTATCTATTAAAATAAGCAGTGTTTAAAATATGCTATCTTTAATGGTTACATGTCAAATCTTAGTATGAATGCATTTATTTATAATTTATGTATATTTTCAGGACACACTATACGCCCCTCCAGCATCTGAGGTATCGTTTGAAGAGCACTGTAAATACAAGTATCTGTTCAACTATAGAGGAGTTGCTGCCAGCTTTCGATTTAAACATTTATTCTTATGCAAGTCTCTTGTATTTCATGTTGGCAATTCATGGCTTGAATTTTTTTATCCTTCATTGAGGCCTTGGGTTCATTACGTCCCTATTAGTCCTACAGCCAAAGCAGATGAAATAAAAAAATACATTGAATTTTTTAAGGAAAACGATTCATTGGCTAAAGAAATCGCTGATAGAGGATTTCAACATATCTGGGACCATTTGACTGACAAAGATGTAAAATGTTACTGGAGAAAACTATTAAAGAAATATGCATTGCTTATAAAATATGATGTAAACAAAGATAAAGATCTCATAAGAATAGACATTAAAAAATAAATTTATCAATATTTTGATATTTTCTATTAATTAATACCTACTTTACTCTTTTACCTTATGCAGAATGAAAGATTTTTCTGAAAGAGATTAAAAGACCACTGGCTTTGTATGTATTTATTGATTACTTATACACAGTTTAAAATTACAGATGAAACAATTTTGCAAATTAACAACATACAGCTTAAGACGATAGTAAATAATAACATGTTCTCTGTCCACAATGCAAGGTTATAAACTAACAAGTACATCGAATTTTTAGGATTTCGGCTTTAGTTTTGAGTTAAAACACATGAAGTGTTTTTTTTTTTTTTATAAAAATATATTGAATATATAATTGACTTACGTTCACACATTCGATATAACTGTAGAAAAAGAATGTCAGGTACTAGTCTTTATTTATGGACATAATATTATCCAAATGAGACTAGTAATTTTGAAAAAAAAAAAAAGTAAATATTATGTGATTACGGTAACAAATTTATTATTGGATTTTGCGTATTATTAGTACAACGGCAAATTGACAGGGAACATGTTAATATGTAGGATTAAAATTTGTATATACATTATCACATAATGATCTACTATATTATACTGCATAGAAAAGAACACGAATTTACCGAAATTAAATTAATTTTGAGTATTGCATTACTTCAGAAAATATCTAGTTTCTGTGTGATATTAGCTCAGCTAATTTTTTAGACATCAAAAATTTACCAGTTTTTTTTTTAATACAACTTAGAATGGCAAACAAGCTGACGGCACACCTGATGGAAAGTGGTAACCGTCACCTACAGACATGAGCAGTACCATGGACATAACAGACTATACTGTTTCGCCCATGATACCCCCCCCCCATGCGTTGCTATTCCTGAGGACTCGGGTGTTATTCCTCTGTACCCAGTAAATTCACCCCATATCCCACCCTTCAAACCGAAACAGCTATGCAAACACAATTGCTTCACGGTTGAAACACGAATGGGACAGAGGTATCCAAGCAATCGACTTTTGTACAATTAAAAAAAGACGCTTCTACATACTAGACGTCTAAATTTATAGGTATGTTGTTCTGTTCTACCCAGTATTTATCTACACATATATCTAATACAAAAGAAATAATTCACTTACATTTATAATTTTAGTAATATAAAATGTACTTTCTAAAATTCTTCGTAAATACAAACACATAAATTACATTTTAATACAATAACTACCGTTTTAACTTACGTGCAATTTGGTTAAGAAAGTTCAACTAGTTTCAGGACCATTCATTACCCTTAATCTTAATCGGCTGTGACACGAGCGTGAGCCTGACTGCGCACATCGGCCCGTTGAGCGCGAGCTGTAGGCATTTTCGGCATCGTAACATCTTCGGGTATGAACAGTTGGGCTCCGTAGTCTCGCCGCTCAAGATAAAGGGTCTCGAATGGTCCCGAGACTAGTCAAGTCTTTCGACCAAATTACATGTAAGTTAAATCGGTAGTTATTACATTAAAATATAAGGTGTTACATTACTACTTACGAAACAGTGGATTGTGTGACAGATGTTTAACTATTTATTTGATCATGGGGAAAATACGTTATAATTTATTGTTGTATAGATTTATTTCATGAGATCTATTTAAATCAATGTCGCACTACAAGACCTGACATAATTATGAAAGGGTTAAATTTGTTAAAAAAATAAAAACTAATTAAATTCACGGTTGGGGAAGAGTGCAGGCGCTACCAAGGTCCAGATATAAAGACCCACACAAAGCCACGACGAGGTAATCTTTATCCACATCGATGCCATGTTCTCCTTCGATAGTTCCGAGCGTGGGCTGTGGAAATATCATTTTATTTTTATAATTACTGAACAATATGAATTAAAAAAAGTTAAAACGGTAATCTAAAAATCAGATTCGGTATTCATGTTAGGTACGGATAACAAGAATTAACTGTTAATGTCGAGAAAGAAACGTGTGTAAGAAAAGTTTCATAAATATCTCGTTTGTTTTTACTTTTATTATTAACTAGCTTTTATCCGTGACTTCGTTTGTGAGATCAGCATATGTTTACTGACCGAGATAAAAAGTAGTCTATGGCGTCCATACAATATGTATACCAAATTTTAGTAATTGGTCAAGTTCTTGAGGTGCTATGAAATCTTGTGTATGTTATTTATTACCTGATATTATTACCTTTGCTTATGAACTAAATCATACGCCGGCAACATTTATTGGACAAATTTTAGAAGGTAATGATTTTTATCACAATTGTGATAATACTGTAATGTATTCAGAATTGTTTATGAAAGGTTATTATAGCTAAGTTCAGTGTTTAGATATTAATTTTTTTTTCACAAACAAAATGTATAATTCGTCTTAAAATTCGTTGTGTGTACAGAGCTTTTTAATTAAATGCAGTTACTGATGTTAGTAATGTAGTTATAGTCTATTTTCTATTTACATCTTCCATTTGATTTAAAGGAAAAGCAGTTTGACACCTCTACCGATTTTCACATTAGTTTGTACTACGAAATGGGTCGTAATTTATAATAACAGTTGCGATTATTATTACGTTCATAATATAGAGGTGACAATGTACATAATTTCTTCTGGTCATTGTGGGTGCTTTAAATTATCAAACAATATTACATAAATACTCACTTGTACCAATTGGTGAGCGTCATCATAATGTAAAGCGTAGCCAGCGCGAACACCACGTGGAAGAAAGTCCAGGAGTAAGCGACGCCTTCGCCCTCGTTGTCGAATACTTTTGGTTCGTCACCACTGCGCCCTGCTTCACCACCGTCGCCGCCTTCTATAGAACCATACCCTGTGCTCAGTGAGCATGCCACAAATGCAAATTAGCTATACTGCATTAATGTCTTTTTTCTTAGTTAGTTTTAAAAAAATATGAATGAATATAGGGTTATTTCGTAGTAGTAATAATTGGTTCATAGTAGTAGGATAATATTCCTACTACTATTATAAATTCGAAACGGATTGGAATGAAATTTGATACACCGATAGGCAACCAACTTAGAATACAGAATACAAATAACAGTAACATGGTGTTTCATACGGGCGAATCCGCGAAATACACCTATTATAAATAGTACTTACACTTTTATAAAATTTTTCGAGATATTTTTTCGTTATTTTAAATGACAGTTTCTGAGGTGCGATTTTTTTATTTCATTTTTAATAGCTTTAATGTAAATTTCAATGCTTTTAAAAGTAACATGTAACGTGCCTCATCTTATTTTGATCCTTTTTATTATCTAATGTTTGGTTCAATATAATATGGGCGCGTTATTGCTGTAATTGTAACAGTGTAGATAAAATTAATAAGGAATCGAGCTGTTAAAAGTAAAGGAAAAGAATGGAGTGATACATACATAAAGCTGATAGCTGAGATTAAAAGTAGTATATGGTATATACAAAGTATAATTTAGTTTTCTATATCATGGAAAGAAGCAAAACCATCACCAATGTGGAATTTTGGGAGTACTGTATGGACGATTTTCTTTTATCAATAGGTATTTGTGGGATCACAGTTTATTACCTTCGTTAGCAATGAGCCCTCCTTGCCCTTACGCCGCGTCACAGCCACGCGTTTTGTCCGCAAGGAATGTACAATATTTGCGTTAGTGTATTATTTAAGGGAAACGAATCTATATTATCATAGCATTATAATAGTTTGATGTTATAAAGACTTCTTAGTGCTTTCGTGTAAAATTATGAGAATTTAATAATATAGGGTCAACAGTAATAGGGACTGTGCTAGTTTATTTGTTTAAAAAATATTTTTACCAAAATATGTCCACATATTTACAATATGTGTCATGATTACTTAATATTATGTAAAAAATAAATTAATTTTGATTACAAGTAGATAAGTAAATGTAAAATTCACCTCCGCTGCCTTCCTTGGCGAGAATATGTTCAGACATGGTGATTTTAGAAGAGGAAGATGCGGTACGGATGCTGGAGTAGAGCACACTGCACGCCCAGATGACCAGTCCGATGATCGATTGCTTGTCGAACGATGACTGCACAAAAAATGATAAAATTTAAAAACCTTAAAACTGAAATGATGGAAAATCATTGATTGCATCTTTTTCACATTCTTTCTTCGTTATCGAGTGGTGGTGGTGGTGGCGGGGAGGGGAGTGTATGAGTTATGAGTGCGGATATAGCGAAATCTTGTAACAACAGCCTCTACGTGCATGTTGACTACTTGGAATTCTTACTTCACTTAAAGTTTTATTTAGGATCTTTTGAACAATCTGAACAAAGGTGTTTTTGCAATCAGTTGTCCGACTGTTTATTAGCTTTTTATAGAAATAACATAATTTAATTCCATATTAATTTTGGAACATATAAAATCTTAGCTATATTTTGTTCTGTATGTATGTATACTATACATACATTAAACTATTATATGTACCTAATTATGTATACATTAACACATGATAAAACAAAAATATTTCTATTCAATATTAAAATATAAGTTTGCAGATGTGTGTGAAAAAAGTAAAAATAATAATAACAATATAAGGAATTATAAATGTTGATTTGTTTTTAAACATAAATAAATAGTGCTGTATAAATAAGTGGTATAGTGTTATAAAAATATACAAAGTAAACAATTATTGGAGATCTAAAATTAACCCAATATACATACCCAATATGTTGGTTCTTTCTCCTGGTCATGCATATATAGAAATGTTGAATATATAATAAAAATATGAATAATATTCATATGTAAAACAAATTTATTTTTTATTAGTTACGTATTACATTACAGATATTATATTTAGAAATATATAACCTAATTACTAGTAAAATTACTATTTGTTATTTATAAACACAAAAGTAGTCTATCTTTTTTAAATAAGTTTTTATTCAAAATCTTGTTTATAAATGAATAGAACACTTTTAATTATAAGAAAACATGAAATATATATATTTAGATAATATATCTTTTGATTTTTATATTTTATAGATATCAGAGGTTAGATGGCACATTTTCTGCAGAAATAGCGCCAATTTTAAAACGCAAATCACACGTAATCCCTGAACATTAAATTTTCGACTGTAATGTGAAGTTAGACACATAATCTTTTTTAGTTTTCTCTAAAAGATTTCATTAGAAAACTTATAAAACAATTACAATAAAAGATTACACTGATGTTCTTACCTGTCCACCAGTGATACCGTTGCAGGCTGCCGACGCGTTGGTCAGTGCTGACCAAGTTAGATATATGACGTAGAGGGACACAACGGAAGACTGTAGCAGACCGGAGCGCGGCTGGCGTTCCTGCACTGAGGGCAGGATAGAGATCCCGCTGGCTATCAGCACTAGGATCAGGTTAAACGAGATGAAGAACTTCGATAAATCGCAGCCACTTGACTGAAATATAAAATTAATAAATATCAATAAATATGCTTACAACTATAATATCTGATGGAGCAGTCAGAGGCAGCTCGATTGTTACAACGTATACACAATATATGTATTTTGTCAAGTATATAAGAATGCATCATGCCAGAGATCTTTTAAATATTTTTTCCATCACTTGATAAAGTTCATGAATGAAGCAAGTATGAAGACCATGATGTTCTTAAAAAAACATCAACATTACACAGTTTGTATATGTTTGTTTGTGCCAGAGCACAGTAGTTTATAGAGAACTGTTTAGTTTATTTTTCTTGGAAACCCCATTTAAAATTTAATTTAATTTCATTATGGATATGAATAATCATAAACATCACAATCATTAAATCTTCATCGATTAATAAATATTTTTTAATATTATTATTACTTACTTTAGTATAAAATACATATAGCAGCACAACACCGGTGAGGGCGAGGGCGAAGCATGTGAGCATGGCGCAGAGTAAAGCCGCGTACCATCCACGGGATTGGCTCTCCTCATAGTTCGCTGTATATATAATTAATAAATAAAATATACGATTGAAATTAAATAATATAAATGAGGAACTTCATATGTATATTACATTTTATATCTACTTAATAATTTAACATAGATTAACAAATTAAGCACAACCTAAGTTAGTGGGTCTAAAAGAAAAAAATTTTGCATAGCAATTCACATTATAACGCAGAAAACTAAAATATGATTTTTAAATGTTCATATGTTCGAAGCTGCAAGCAAGGGACAGTATTAACATAATTATTTATTCTCTATATCATTGACAACTAATCACTGTTCAATACAAAAAAATTACAAAAATACACATAAATTTGTACTTACAGACCCAAGTCTCTGCCCAAGTATGTGCAAAGTCTATAATTAAAATGAGCTGAATGACAATAAAACAGAAGCCTCCGATCATTCCGAATACCATCCAAGTTGAAGCAAATTGTCCCTCAGGGATAAAAAAAGCACCGATTATGCCACCGATCACCAATAGGTACTTAATACCCCAAAATCTGGAAAGAAAAGAGCATTATAGATTAGATCTACACCTGACCTTTCCATCAAAAATTTATCACATAGAGTACCAGCTCCAATGGAAGTATCATATCCATAAATACTGCACATCTTTAATTTTTTTTTTTAAACTACTGTTGCCCTTCTTCCATCAACTTACTTTTTATGCTAGAGTCAAATTTGTTGATTTGTAAATATTAAAGACAAGTTCATCCTTGCTCTTATTGTTTTTAATTATAATTATTGTTTTCAAATCCAATGAACATATTACAAATATAACATACCCATTTTGTATCCCAGCTCGTGGATCTTTGGAAGATTTTACGCCAATTGTAATTAAGGCCATGAGAACGAAGAACAGACAGGCAGCAAAACATATTCTGTAATCAAAATAAGAAAAAGGGTCAATTCTCAAGAACTATTTTCCAGACCTACAATTTCTGGTTGTAAAGTTTAATTTGTAAATAATAAAATTATAAAGCAGAAATTGTTTTCTTGGCATCTTTATTAAAGACTTTATTGGAATAACAGGGAATAACAAATGGCTAGTAATATGAATTAATTGATTATCATTATTATTTCTTAAAAGTATTAATAGCAATTTAAGGGTATTGCAAGATTGTTTTCTTCATATAGTATTAAATATAAACAGATTGTTCTTAAATACTAATTTAGACCAATAACTTAAACAATTTATTGTTAACTTTACCTGTACACAGCAAGATAACCAACAGCATTATTACAGTCCACTTTTAGATCTCCTGGTATTGGTACACTTGTTGAATTTTCACAAAATGGTACCTATAATGGAATCATCATTGTTAAGGAAATAAATGTACTAGATAACATATACATATAATTATATATGTAATTAATATATTCTGGCCGACGGCAAAACAATAATTAATTAACCCATCCACTACGATAAACCTAATTGAAGCAGTACTAGGTTTGCACACTGGAAGTCGTAGGGTTAAATTACTTTCGGCAAAAAAAAGAAATCATATATTTCATAACAGCAAATAATTGTTTCTAACTATCCTATCCACTAGGTATTATATAACATATTGTTTGTATATACAGTGGATTTCGGGTATAACGACGATGAAGGGACCACTCTATTTTCGTCGTTATAAGCAAAAGTAAAGAGATACAGACATGTATACATGTATAGTTTTTTCTTTGGATAAATCAACATTGTTTTCATCGATTTTCAATTTTGAAATGATTTTTGTCTTTTCTTTAACAGTGAATGTACGTCAAGGCAGTCATACTTATTCAAAAGTTTACTAAACTCAGTTGCTCCTTAGAATATCACTTTATAACTGAACCATAAATTCAACCCCAAAACGTACATGCTTTCCTAACTACTTAGCTAATATCTATAAACACTAGGTAAAGGTCTCCATACTTGCTAATCGTCTGTGTGGATGTAAACAAAAAGTTAGAAATGTTTGTAAAAGAAAGAAATCTTAGTGTCTCTTTAGCGGCCAACTTTGGTCGCAACATCTGCATGGGATTTCTAGGAATTTGTTACAAATGGTTCATTAAAAGCAGTTGTTATACCCGAACTCGGCGTTACATCCAAAGTCGCTATAACCACATAAATTTTGTACTAAAGTATGCTTTAAATTCAAGGGACTTAGATTTAACGTCGCTATAGGCAAATGATCGCTACAACCAAGGTCGTAATAAATGAAATCCACTGTAATATAAAAAATATATTGTCATTGTATATTTGTAAATAACATACCAATTGCTTGATCCTTAAGCAATGATACCATATATTATGAAAAATTAGATCATCTGACTGGGGACATTACCCAGACATGAGTCAATTTAGATAAGTTTGTTACTTAAATTGGTCTGAATGTAAATAATAGAATTTGGGTCTTAATTTTCATAAAACAATGTGCCTATTATTCCATTATGGAGGTAAAACTATTGAAATTCAAGTACTTAATAGACTAGATATACATACTTTTTTCAATTCATTTTGCAAGCCAGGTGCTAACGTGATGCAGGCAGCTATCATAACCAGTAGTAGCATGACAGCATACATGAGTCGGGTCGAAGTTGAGTTGGCACATGATGGACATGCCGAACAGCATAAGGAGCATGCTGCACTGCCACAACAGCATGCTAGCTGCAAGATTTATAACAACATATTTTTAAACTAAAATAATAATATATAAAATAAAAATAAAAAGTTTATGTTCAGTTCATTTGTAATTTCAATGTATGTTAACCTTTCTTTGCATGATTTTTTTTATTGGTGAAATCTTAATGATTACAATTAAAGGAAAAATGGTTAAAAAATAAATTTGACAGCTATGGATTTTTTCTGCAATGGACATAAAAAAAGGTATTCAGACACGATCAACTTAAAGTGAAATTGTTATTTTATATAATTTTTGGGCATTCAATGTTATGATGGAAATTTTCACCAGTATGCAAAGAATTAAATTATAAACAATAAACTATAAATTATTACTGACACGAGTAACTATATTTTATTACGGTATTATTTTATTATATATAGGTGTATATTATATTTAGGTGTTATTTTATTTTTGATGGGATTTACATGAAAGAATTAATTTTTTAATCAACTAGTAACAAAAAGACAGTTAAATTCGTGCTATTAAAAAAATAAATTTAGTTTTCCCTTTTTTTTTGGAAGAATGTCAAACATCTCTTAAACTTATTTTAGTATTTTGTCTTGTGGTGAATTTTAAAGATAGTGACAAATTCATCTAGTAGTTAAAATAGATGTTAAGTTTTTATTCATAAGGTTGTGTATTCTGATGAATATAGAATAAAATAGTTTAGATGGTGTTTTTTTTTGTATAAAATTTGTTATAAGCTCTTAATGAACTTTTCTAAAAATATTTTGACTGAAAGAAAGAATTAAATCCTTACAAATATCATAAATGTGAAACTAAGTTTGTTTCTTTGTTTGTTATCTCTTAGCACCTTAATGATTTAACCAATGACTATGAAATTTAGTATATACATAATATAAGGGGTGGAGAAGGTTATAGGCTACATTTTATTCCAATCAATGAACATATCTTGATCACACAGACAAAGTTTTAAGTAACAGCTAGTGAATAATAAATAAAAAGAGTAGACCTACTTTAAACACTTGATATAGTGTAACATTTGCTTATAAAAATTATTTTTTATGAAAAGCACTATGGACGGTATAGAATAGACTGTGATACTCAAGTTAGCCTTTATACCTTGCTATTTCTAAATGTGGACTATAGTACTAAAGGTTTATACATCTATACTCAGTAATTAGTATAGGTGAATGACACCATTTTAGTGCTTTTCTTTTTTATTGTTAAATATATTTTTTTGTTATTAAATATAAAATTAAGTGTTAAATAAATTTTATTACTTTCTGTTATCACTATGTACATAATACTGTGCAAACTGACTAAGAAAATCCAAAGAGTATTTGTATAGATTACTCATACTTGCTGTTTACATGTAAGTATTATGGTTTACGTAGAATAAACATAATAGACACGTAGATACATTTATTTCAAAACTCACTAATGCAATTCTATTTTCAATACTTTATTTCTTGCTTTAAGAATCTGAACGTAATATTTAGATTTTCGATTGTACGTATATTAATGCTAAAGGTAATAAAAGTAAAATGATTGTGACATACCTGTGCAGCTGAACAAAGCCCTAAAACAGCACCCATGCTTGTTTATGTTTCTTTACTTCACGTAAATCACATATAATTTACCATTTAATAACTAAAGAAGACAAAAAGCCTTTAGTGTTATTACACAAAGAAGGAATTATTTATTTCCTTAAAAGAGGGAGACAAAATCAATAACTAAGTTTCGCAAACAATGACAATCAATATTAACTTGACGTTTATTTGACAGTAATAAGTGACAATTTTTTTTTTAATATAGGTAAAGGGAATTCCTTGATCTTAGGCAAATTTGTGGTTTGAATATCAATGGAGTCTATGTAGTGGTTCTATTATATTATAGTTTTTAAATTCCTTTCGATGGTCGAATTGGTCAAACATCATTTGTATATGTTACCCTCCCGCTAGTATTATATACTAAAAGCGTCGGCGGTCTTATCATCCTATTTTATTTATAGATCAGTTAAATCAAATAAAATGATAAAAAAATGTATACTCGTCACTAGAAAAACTAAAACTAGAAAAAATTATCGAAGAATTTTAATTTTAATATTAGAATTATTTATCCATAGTCTACAGGTATATTTTACAGGCGGTTATTTTAAACTCTGGGCGGTTGAAATGTAAATGTCGCCGATATTAAAGTTGAAATATCATCACGATAATTAAACGAATAATCAATTAATTTTTATATTTTATATTTTAATGAAATTTATATATAAAAATTATATATATATATAAATTATATATATATATATATATATATATATATATATATATATAATAAATATATATATTTTTACAGTCGATAGGGTTTAATCTCGTTTAGAATAAATAACTGTCAAAAATATATTTTTTATTACTTTTTCATTACTTTCCCATGTTATAACGAAGAAACGAACAAAGAGGTTTCCACAGTTTTTTAATTCAGAAGTACTAGTTTAATTTAAAAAATTTTGATCCTGGTTATGAGAGTAACTCTCTCGTTGGTCCTATAATTTTACCATCATTATATAAGTAGTTGTTATGTTTTAAATTATACTCTGGTCATTAAATAAGTATTTGTCCTGTCATCCATACAACTTGATTTATATAGTTTACTCAAGAGCACCTGAAGGATAAATACCTAGTTATTTTCCAAATTTGTAATTAGTGAATGATATCTAGGTATTGAGGATGTATTAAAACAAGTTATAATAAAATCTAAAGTTTATATTTGTAAATATATATCAATTAATAACACGATCTGAAATAAATTACTTTTAGGTCTAGAGTTGTTCCATTATAACACTTCTCATTCCTGTTTACAAAGTTGTCAGGTTATTGTACTATTTATAATATTATGCAAAATTGCCTGTTGAAATTTGTAGGTAGTTTTAAAGTAGATATTACTTAGATAGTTGTTTTTTTTTTCATATAACTTATATTTCTTGCAGGATCAACATTTATCAACATTAGATTTATGAGAAGGAATGGAAAAATAATGCTACTGTGATTCTAATAAATCGAAATATATTTTTTAAGACACACAAAATCCATACTAAACTTATTGAGGTATAATATATCAGGCAAAGAGTAGCACTACTCGAAGTAGTACATAGTCAAATAATAACATTTTCTCATAAAGATTTCATACGGTATATAACATTTAGTTTTTTACTGAAAAGGTACTTTAGGTTTCACAGTCAAATTTCGTTCGCTATGAAATGCATTACATATAATAATGTATTATTTATCGTAGAATATTATAGAGAGCTCAGATTTCGATTACGCTATAAGGCTGCTTCATTTTGTGATGATAATATTTTTTATCTGCTTCGTTGAATTGTAATAACTGTTATTATTACATTTCTCAAACGTTTACAATTTCAACACATCAACATAAACATTTCATTTTAATTTTAATAGATAATATAATAATTGTAATATCTATCTTCATAAAATCAATAATTTGGAACACATTCTGGACCTACACATTAGGTACAATATAAAATAACATTTCCTAATCTAACACGATATCATTAAAATATAACACGCGCACATTCAACATTAATTTTATAAATAATAATAAGTATATGAAAGATAATAAATAGAATTATTAATATCACAGTAGAATAACTGCCAGCTAGTTTCCACTATATATCATTTTTAATATAAATTATACTTTTTAATTCGGCATTAAGTATATTTAATCATGAAAAGGGGGAGCCTTGGGCTTATTTAAGAAAATTGTACACGTGAGCTGACAGTTTTGGTGAAAACTGCTGTGATATTGACAACTAAATAAGGAATTGTCCAAACATAGAGTCAATACATCTCCAACAACATCCTTTGATTCATGTTGCCAGAGGTAGCAAGCTTATAACTACTGGTAACTATTAACAACGCATCAACGCGCTTGGGGTATAGAATACGCTTATGACACGTTTTATTCAAATTATATTTGAAAAGTTATAACTTCAATTTCATAGAATAACACATAATATAAGATACGAGTACGTACATACTTGTGATATAAATGACCATCTCTTAAGGCTACTGTTGGTGGTGAAAATGCCGTATATGTATGTAATTATATAGGGTACAACAAAAAGTATACAATGATCCGAAATCCAACGGTAGTATTTATATAAACTAAAAAACATAATTTTATAAGAGGTTACATCGAAGTATTCAAATAATGTTAAACTTTTCAATATGACGTGGTCTGTTCATATGACAGATGAATTTTTGAAGTTACATTCTACTTTGAAGAAAGTTGTTCTACACCGTAAATACTATCGTTGAAATATAGATTTTTATATCAGATACACCCTATAAAAAAAATCTTTAATTTACATATATAACATGAACAAAACACAAACTTAACCTTAAGGTCCTTTTAATCCACACTGCACATTCCGGAGTGAGCACATTGTTTATTCCATTTATGTACACAATTTTGAAAGTATTAAAAATAAATGAAGTACCTAATTATAAATTACAACAATTACCCAAAAAATTTAATTTCAAATTATTGGGTAGGTATAATCTAAATATTAATACAAATGTCATCTTCAAAATTTCAACTTAATGTGCTTCACGGCCATGTGTGAATGAGAGATCTACTTATTATTTATAAGCAGGAGACATATTTTCATAAATCATGATTGCCCACATAAGTTAACGGTACCTATATTTCAGAAATTCTAGTCTTTAACTACATAATAATACATAGGTATTAATAATATTAAATTAATAATAACCAATACATAAACGGAACAAATTAGAACTAAACTTTTAAATAAGAATATTTTTACATTTCCTGAGAAATATGTATAGCGAAATTATGTTATAAATCTATATAATATATAAATATAGAGAAAATACACGCTAGTTTATATGTAACTACTAACCATAACTTTGAAATTATTTTTAACGTATAATATTGAAGGAGATTTGGGGGACTCTACGTCCACAAATTTATAACAAGATAGGTAGATTTATTTTTATATAGGTATATTAATGAAATAGGTATGCTACACAACTTACAACGTGGTATAAACTTTGTTGTTCAATAAATTGTGTTCTTCATATACTGTAGTTGTAAAGTTACACATAGCTACATGTATATAAAGTGATACAGGCGGTACATATGTCTAGCTTTGAAAAGACCTTAATAATTGAATGTGAATTTACATATTTACATTATGGTTGTTTATACAGATAGTAATTATGAAGCGAAATAGGCACAATTTACATACATACACAACAACTCAGAGATATAAGATGGTACAAATAATAACACTTATTTCTCTCTAGTCTTTTGACAAATTTACTCGTAGTTAGCAAACAGTTTTAGATTTTGTCAATTTGATATATCTATCATTTAGAGATAGATAAATTGGACAATTGAAATGGTGCCAAACTAGCGAGTCGGTCGGTAGGTACTTACTTATTTTAAGATATAATTCAAAGTGATGTTTAAAAATATGGGAGGGAAACATAATATTGTATTACATTATTTATTCTAAGTACAAAACGAGGCTTTCGTGCCTTTAAATTGCCTACATTAATTACGATATACAGTCGAGCACAATTTCGGGTATACCAAACGTCAAATTAATAATGTATTGTTTGCCTTTATCTTATCATTATAGACTCTTTCGGCATTTGTATGTATCTGGCAAATGGTATACGAGAGGGCTGCAATCGACTGTATTTTACTAAATAATAAATTACGAGATGTGATCTTAAAATAAAATACTTTCTATTTATTAACGTAATAATGGATCAAACCGTATACCAGCAGCGATAATTGAAACAAATCATATTATGAAATAAGACTTAGAGCTCGACTAGCGCCCAATATCAGATCGTCCCAGCTCCTCAGGCTCCATTTTTTTTCGCATCATGTGCACGATTATGGAGAAGATATTTTACGGAGACGAATGCCGATTTCGTAATGATTTGAAATGTTAGAAAGGAAAAAAATGATATAATAACTTTGTGATATTAATTTTCAATCGTAGGCTAAAATATATTTAAAGTTAGTGTAGTGTGTTGTCAGAATTATGCTCGTTTGTACTGATATGTTTTTAAATTTTGTTAAATATATTATTATGACTTTGGTGTTGAGTGCATACAAAATTGAGCAAAATTTTGGCTAAATGAATTAATACGTAAACAATATTTACAAATGGCTTATTAAAAATAAAATGTCTTTATATTAAAATAATAAAAATTCAACTATGTCCTAATATAAATTACATAAAATAAGAAACCGTCTATGCAATAATAATATGTATAGAAAAATCTAATAGCTTCGAATATAAATTGAGATCGGTATTTATGAAACTAGCATGCTACTTTGCGACGCAGTAGCTTACATTTTCTATTTAGCTGATGTCTACGACGATATGTAACTGAAATGAACTATTTGTTGTAAGAACGTCATGATGAATTCGGCACATTGTTATCAATAATATAGTAGGTACTTAGAAACGAGTATAAAAATCAATGTTATTTTTTTAGTGAGTATTACCGTATTTGGTATAAATCATTAATTCCTATGACAGAAATTATGGAGTGTTCTCATGCAACGGTAAATTATAGAGTACCTACCTAATTTAAAAATATATTAAAATCATAGAGATTTCTGAAAATATTTTTTTTTAACGTTTCACTAGTATTGAAAATGTGAAAAATAAACGGTTTGTTAATTCCACTCTCAAAAATAGTTTTTCATATAAGTAATTCTTTATCAGAAAAGGCAGTGACGTTGTATTGCACTGCAGACGTTAATACAAGTTTATTGTAATGTACCTAATTTTTAAATACTATTATTATGACTTCAACTTAAAATAAACTTAAAACTAGTTTATTAATTATTATAACTTAAGCCGCAGTTACACCTAGATCCTTATAGTACCTATGGCAGTTGTCGAAACGCTAGCTGAGTTGTTTTATGCCTATATCTAAGGTGATCATTTGGTTTAGGGAGCGCGATGTTTCGTTGCTTTGAACAAAAATATATTGTTTCGATTAAATGTAAACGCCATGATGTGTATCACAACCATTATTGCAATGAAAATGTATATTTGGTAATAATCGCAGGTACGTTACGTAAATATTAAATTGTGTCAGCACGTTCTGTCGCCAATGCCAATAAAATCATTGGTGAAAATATACACCTCACCCTGTAATGAATTTACTAAATGTTTGGCAAGAAATTTTTATAATTTAAAATAAGTGTTGTAATTTCAAAATAACGCGGATTAATCAGATCTAGTACACATTTCGAAACGAGTGAGATCTACGTTCAGATAAGTCTAACCAATAGGTACGTATATGTTTGTTATGCAAATTATTTTGAAACATAGTAAATCCAGGTGGCATTTCATTTCAAATTTATTATTATACATATATAGTTTATTTTGTAATTAATTAGAGAAATTTCCACACTATTCTAGAACCGTTGTTAGTTCTTATGGATTTGTTCATGTTAATTTCATATATTATAAGAGTGTATAATGCTTGAAATAGATAACATATTTTTGATAGTTTAACAAGAATTTATGAGGATAATATCGGTGAATAATAAACCGCGCGTACTCTACACTGGTGCACAGGCATTACAATGTGCGTTCATATTATATTTCAGCACCAAGTAAACGAGTAAGCATAAATACACATTGTCTAGTGTAAATGCCGTTGTAAATCTCAATAACAGTGTAATATCTTGAGGATTATATTACTATGGTACTGTTTTGGTTGTTCGGTTGTTCCACAATTGGCACAAGTTAAACTTATTTGATAAATTACCTCAGGTACCTACTTACCTGTAGATTTATAAGTTTTAAATTTTTTACCCGTTGGGTACTTAAGTAATTGTATAATTCATTACATAAGCAACGAACCTTGGTAACTAGTGAATCATAAATACCGCGCCATGAAAGTAACTCACGGATCTTATTGCAAGTACAGTACTTAATTAAAACACGTTACTATGTCACCGTACAAAAATGTTCGATTTGAAACGATCACATTATTTAAGTAACAATATTAATAATATTTATGTACACATCCGAAGATTGCTTTTAATTTTTGAATACATTACTATAGAATATATTCACGCAACAATATAATTAGTATTTACAATTTTCATATAATAATAATACTTAAAAATAATATTGCAGCTCGCCTCCACTCGTTTTCCCGCATATGACTTCCTTTTGTTTCTATCACATTTTTCATGTCATTAGGGTCATCAAGACTGCCTTGTATTCGTAATGATGTGCGTTATTATTTACTGATATTACAAATGTTGCAGTGTAATATCAAAAACGCAATCATTACTTATCCATATCTTCAATAAGCTGGATATATTTTTATCACAGCATCTCTTGTCCATGTTGCCACCTCACTCACTAACCTCCCTTATTTATAAACGCTAAACGAACGTGTAAAGACATATTTGGATGAATTCGATATTGATCTTTATTCAGCCAACAAGCCAGTTACACAGTAAGTTTATTAGCACGATACAAGCAAGGAAGATTCTTTAGTGGTATCTCATCCTCAGTGAATGCGTTCTGCCTCAGTCTCACATTCGCAGTTCTCGTAAGTATTTGCGCAGTTGGTGTGGCGCGGTGCGTGTTGCAGTTACCGACTGATAAATCAGTGGCTTGTTTTAAGCGTCAATTAGACATTAGGTTTGTCGTCACTTTTGGAATTGACCCAACTGTACTGATGGAAGCATTTTATGATATTTGGAATTCGTAACTGACGCGAAACCTACTGTCTAATGGCCACCCTATATTAATCATACCGCACCACTGCGCCAAGGCACGCTGCGCGATCGACGCTGAGTATTGTCTCCTTATTCTGGTAGGACCACCTTTGTATACGAAACAGATATGTTCATAAAAATTTAACTCTAAACATGTTTTGTAGTCTTTTCGTCGAATCTGAGATAACTTACGAAACTAATTTCATAAAGGTATCGTTTAGTTTTGTTATATTATTATCTAAGAATTCAGTCAATGTACATTATAATCCATGATGAACATCATCGAATTTTCACCGACTGGAATTTGCACCGAGTCGAATTTAGAACGGCATGCGCGAGCATACACGTTCGTTAGTGAACAGTGTGAAAACATTGTTACCTGACACTGTACATACTGTAGAAGTAAACACATTCGAAAATGTGGACGGAATTTACTGACGCCCTACGCAGTATTTTGTCTACATGAAATGTTAATGTTGAAAAAAGCCAAGGAGTATTATATATTCGCAAATATATTACTCATAAGTATATACATATTATATATGTCATAAAGATTCCTAATAGTGGTGTCAATGTATGGTACCAAAAATATAAGTTATTTTATAAAAATATATTTTAATTTAAATTGATTTTATTGTATCAATGTAGTTTGGTATAAAAATAAATTTGTATTTAAAAGATATGAATAATTTTGTAATCGAAATATTATATAGAGAGGGTATAACAGAAAGGTAATCAGACATCCAGTCATAGTCCTCAAGAAAATAAATAATTTTCTAAAATAAGTCAAAGGTCGGTTGAAATAAACCTTGCGCTCAATCTACTTAACGTAAGGATGTAATCGACTTAATGAAAAGTTCATAATGTTTATTTATATTTCGATCCGGGTGTTCTTTGGAGAAAACAATTTACTTTCATGAATACTATCACTGATTTTCTGATGTTTATGAACTTTCAAATATACCTCATATATCCATTCACAATGGATGTTAAAACGAAAACAATTTATATTTGTTAAATAGTCTAAGATAAATTAGAAATGGCAAACAATCACATAATTTGAATATATTATACGTAACTTTGATTTCAACGAACAGAACCACATAACAATTGTTATCACACTGCATCCACAAGTCAGTCAATCTTAAAACTATTCTTAGGGCTAATATCCACAGTCTGCGACTGAGAGCGACACACAAATTCTATATGCATGTCACAGTAAAGGCGAATTTACTGCTCTACAAAAATACGTGGGCAATGTCAATATGCAGTTAAAACACGAGCCACAAATAGAGGGAAAAATATGTCTCCTTTGATTTATCCATATTCATATATCCAATATATTAATAATTTCATTCTCTGCTTAAATTAAATAGAAACTTAATTCATATTATTTATATCTGCCTTAAACTACTAATCACGACCCGCACTCGGAATAGTTCTTCACTGTGAATGTTCTTAAAAATTCAATATCAGTTCGGGTGAGTAAAATTTATTATACTTAAGTTACTGTTCATTTGAGATACATGATGGCACGCGCGCCGGCGCTGGTGGTCGCTACGTTCGCGAGGACCGCGAGCGATCGCCGCGTCCGCTAGTCGCTAAAGCGCGTGCACGCTTTCTTCCATTTGCATTGAGTGCACCATTGATCGCGTTGGTCCATGCCGTACACCTTACGGCACTTCTTGTTGTCGGACCGGGGCCGCCGCCCTGGGCTGCCCGGCGAGCCGCTTGTTGCTGACAGCCTCATATGTTTCTATACAACGAAGAATTAATAAATTACTATTACATAATATTTGTGGCGGTAGGTTGGTATTAATTTATATATAATTGACTACGTACCGGCGAATGTGAGCTAGACCAGGAATGCGATACGGGAATGCTTATAGGTCTCGCCGTCCCATGCTGTATAGTAGAGAGCAGCCCTTGCCTGTAAATAACGAAGAGTTATATTATAGAAATGGATAGTATATGATTATAAAGGATATCTTCTGATATATATGGATATAATTACTACAATGTCTGATATCTGCAATATCTGATAAGTACTTAAATATTATGGCTCTGGCTTGGACATCTTATTTTTTTTTATACAACTTAGAATGGCAAACAAGCTGACGGTCCACCTGATGGGAAGTGATAAACGTCGCCTATAGACATGAGCAGTAACATGGACATAACAGAGTATACTGTTTCGCCCATGATATCTCCCATGCGTTGCCGTTCTTGAGGACTCAGGTGTTATTCCTGTGTACCTTGTAAATTCACGTCATATACATACATAACACAACTGCTTTACGGTTATATAAATAATACCTATTTATGCCGCACAGAGATTATATCATACGTCGTTTTTAGGCAGATACAAGTAAATAATTAAAAAAAAATATTAGAATAATGACATTATAAGAATATTAAACGTTACCAGAGTTTTTCATTTATAGGACATAGTATGAGCCAGCTAGTAGTAGAAATGTCTTTTATGGGGAGAGATTCGACCCTTAAAAGTGGTATGTTATCGACAAATATATTAAATATGTGGTGTATATTATATATTTGCACGTACCTATAGGAGCCTACAATCTGTCGTTGGTACTCAGGGTCTTCGTGCGGCGGCCGGCACATATCCCGATGGGACAGCGTTGGCGGCGGTGCAGGGGTCGCCACCTCTCGCTCGGTGTAGTAGAACTCTTCTTCGTGGTCGTTATCACCCTCTTTCTTTGGTCTGAAAAGTTATGAGCACATTATTAATACAAATCGTCTTTTTTTTGGTGTTAAATTATTAATTTGAAAGAAAATGACATTACACTTCAATACCTAAAATTGATTAAAATTGATTAGTTTTTATGAATAAAGGGGTTAGTTTTTAAAATTGTCAGGATTTAAATACAATTGTGAAAGTTTTAAAAATTATTAATTACCTAATATGGCACACAGAACTAAATCCTATCGATTGCGAAAAGAATTGTGATTCAGATTAAAATAGACGAAGTTATATCAGTATGGCTATAATATAGAAATGAATTTCCTATTTTTGAAATTTCTTAAAATTATTATATAATATAGTTAATAGACTAAATATTATAGGGCTATTAAACAAATAAACCTGATCATTCCTGTAATCTACTACAGCTTTAATTGTCTTCAAAAATTAACGAAAGCAATTAATGGACCTAAATAAAGGCTTTTATTAAGGGTACATATGTATATGTACAGTATAAAATGTACCTACTATAAGGGCATAGGGTAAGGTTACGTAAGGAGCGCGCGGCGGGCGGAGCGGTCGGCAGGGCGGCGGGCGTTGCCGGATGACCTTGCCACTCTGCACGGGTGGGACCTACCTACTGGCATTGCAACCTTGTCGTGAAGCGTCCCCGCTTCCGGGTCATAAGGGCTGGCCTTTCGGTATATAAATAAATGCTTCAATGACGTAACTAAGAACTGAAGGTCGTTAAAAAGTTTTGTCGGTCTTAAGATCAATGTGGTGACATTGGTCTTTCGAGCAAATAGAACGTATGAACGTTCTATATATTGAAGGGCATATTTTTTACAAGATGATTATAATGTAAGTAAAGTGTATAAGATGATGAGTTAATTGTGCAGTAAAATCAGCATGTTAGTGGTTATGGGAAGGAAATGTAGTTGTTTGCACTGGACAGTAACTTGCCAGCTGGCATTATTGCACAATTATTATTGTAAGTATCTACCTACGCACGTGCCGTATCTGAGTACAAGTGACTTGACAACATGTATATATTGCACCCCGATAATTGTCTTTCACCAGAAGCATGTTGCATAATTCGGAAAATTTATTAAGTCCTTTCGTTAGGAATATGTTTTAAAATATCTTGGACATAACGTCTTAATCCTTAGGAATGGCAATGCATGATGTTATTCTGCGATGTATGTGGTGCTGTTAATGTAAAGATATGCCACTTTCCGACAGGTAGGCTGTTAACTCTTTTGGCAGTCTAAGTTGTAGGTATTTTAAATTTTTTTTAAAGTGTCGAACGAAAGAATAATTAATAATTGTCTACAGTCTGTTTATTTATAAAATTTCGATGTTGTAACAATATACCTAAATATATGATGAAGATGTAAAATGATATTAAATAGTAGTAAACATTATCTAATTAGCTATATGAATTTGAAGACAGCTATTGAGTTTTCAGGATAATAGAATGGTTGACTACTAACCCCAGATGCGTGAGTCTAATGTGAGCCTCGATGGAAGGACAACTGTTGGTAGTGTAGCCGCATCCTCGCCAGGTGCATTCGTATACAACACTGTTAATCTGTAACAATGATAATTAACACTTTATTAATGAGGTTTTTAAAGTATATAAGCGCATAATTTCACTTAAGCAGCTTTGCATCTTTATATAATACATATTTCATTGTAAATACCTTGGTTATTAATTTTATTTTCAGACACCGTTCCGAGTAATGTTTTGTAAAACTCTATATATTCGAATATTTATTTAGTTATCATACGATTTCGCTAACATGAATATAAAGTACCATAGATCAAGTTAGCATATAACCTATCCGTTTAACTAATTTCATTCAAATCCGTTTAGTAGTTTTAGAATAAAAGAGTAATAATCACCCATGCATACATTCTCACAATAATATCAGTACTATGTAGAGTCAAATTTTCAGATTTATATCTGGTAAGAGCTGGGTTAAATCTTTTTAATTTGAAATACCTTTCTAAAGCTTGCCCATATTACAAAATAATCTTACTATCACAATTTCGTAGTTCAGCGATTTCAGTTCTTCGCTACTGAGTTACTTATCCAGTAACGGTATTACTCTATATAATCAAAAATATATTACATATTAATAGTAATATCTAATGTATTCTTGAGTAAGGACTTTCATAACTCGAAGGGAGTTAATATATAGATAACAAAATCAGTACAACAATAGTATCTTCCTTTAATGCGAAAACAAATGTACAAAAAGTACGAAGGCCTTTGTAAATGGAGCAGATATGATTGTAAAGTTTTAACAATGAGCATTATGTGGTTATAGAATCGTTAAACAATGTATCGATGATTCAAGGTTGCCTAGAGTATTATGAAGCTGTGAGCAGTGCTGAATAAAAATCGCGTAAAGATATAACGGAGACGGAAGCATCTCTAGGTCGCGGCGCGGCCTTGCCGTTACCGCAGCGTAGCGCACGCCAGCCGTGGGCTCGTGCGCCGTGCCGCTGTGCGCCGCGCTGCCACCACCTCCACCTCTTACGTCATGGCCATCATCATATACCTCTATGCATATGTCCAGTTAGAAACGCAAAAACGTTAGAAACGTCTTATATTTTAGGTATCTATACATATAATTTGTTAAAATTGGATACAATAAACAAGATTACAAAAAATTATAATAAATATTATTATGTAGGGGATTGTTTTTTACGAAAGTATCTTATAGAAAAACAATAAAATCTTATTATTATTACAGTATGCATGCATAACTTCTAGTTACATTACAATGTTTTGGTTTAATTATAATACCTAGAGAACTGCTTTCGACAAAAGAATAGATAGGTAGCTACCTGTGTAATTAAGCACACGCGAACTCGGCGCTGTATACTTGCCAAAGATTCTTCTACACCGACCTTCTGTTCAATGTCATATTATTTTGGCCACTACTAATACCTAACCTACCATCGACATTCGCAGCCATTGTGTCGCCGTATATTATCGTTATTATTTGATTATGCTTGAAATTTACTAACAAAATTGTGGGCAAAACAGAATACAAATGTTATTAATGCTGTCTAGTTTATTTTACAGCATGTAGGTTTCAATTGAAATAAGAATTGTGACTAATTTTAATTATAATATATTGAAATATGAAATAAAATATCAGTGATATAATATATTAAAACATATTTACAAATAGTTGGATATTGGCTGAATAAAATGAAATAAGCTATGTCAGGGTATATAAGCGAAGATGCGCGCGCGGAATATTTGAATCTACTTGCTGCCTGGAATCTGAGGGCTATATCAAGTGCATACAGAAATAGGTCAGGTCACGAGGAAACTGGGCTGGCGAATAGGGGCAGCGAGGCCAACATCTAGGTCGCAGTACCACGGCCAAGGGTGCTCTGCGAAGGTTGCTGTTCTATGCACTGCAAGTCATTATGACCTACATATTTTTAACAAAATGTTCTAACTTGATAATTTAATCAAAAACTTATGTAAATATCTAGTTATACATATTAAAATATTAAAGTGGCTCTACATTTATTTTACATATATTTGGTTGTAAGTACATTACTATATAATAACTATTTAGGTATATTATATTAGTACACATATAAAAATCGACTGAAATTAATAGACATAGATATGTGGATTTTGTATTTTTGGAATTTTATGCCTAATAAAAATGAACAAGTGCGTATTTAATATATTACTATATATACTATTTTCTACTCAACCTTGGGAAATCTCTTGGGATATTTTAAAAATTAATAAAGACGACATCACGAGATATTAGTTGTAACTAATGACAAGTATTCAGAAATTCTGTATTATTAAATTCAATACGTATACAGTATAATATTTTCGATAACCACTATCAGACCAGTGACGTCGTTCTATGACTCAATGAATGATGTATGAGTGATTTCAGGGTAACTAAAGGGCGACATAATGATTTTCTACGAATATACGAGTACTATACGATACTATGAATTATAAAACATAAAATCTAAATTAGTTTTGACAAAAGAAACTATATAATTTCAGAGAGATATGCGAAAATTTATATTATATCGGATCTTTTTACAATTACCACACGTGAAAATTACTGATCAGATGTTTTCCATTTTACTTTTATATTTGATAACAGAAAAACATAAAAGTAAAATGCTAAGTGTAAATTTTTATGTAATATTTAATTGATTTATCAAATAAAATAGAGGAGGTCTTTTTTATTCTCTATCATAAAATTCCATATTTAAATCTTGTCTTCTAGTAATCCATACACAAAATTTAATTGGATAAACAATCTTTGAAATGAGAACGTAATGAAAGGCAAAATATCAATATATCCTTCTTTTTTCAAAACGATGGTTTAATATATAAATTTACTAATTTTAAACAATCTTTCATACTTAATTTAATCTTTTATAAATAAAAAAAAACCAGTTACTTGAGAAACGTTCACAATTTATTGGTAAGGTTGCCTAAGGATTAATTTTAGCAGTTTGTATTATACATTTGTAGGTTTTCATGGGGCCAAGCAGTGTGTGTCCTTCAAATATCCCACCGATTTGGATCGATACCGCGCAAGCCCATGATAGCCCATCTCGTTGCTCAGTGTCATTCTGGGCATTTTTCGTCGTTCTGAGGAAAATATTTTTGCTGTCAAAATTTTCATATAATATTAGCTTTGAAATTTTATTTGTTATTAGTTATTTAATGATGATAATATTATAAAAAAAAATGTGAATGTTTATTAAATTGAATGAATCATGAATTGAATGATTTGAATGAAAGCTGATACAAATAAGTACATGTTTTATATATTAGATGAAATTATTTCACTAATTTAAATGAACAAAGACGCGAGTTGTAGCTAGTAATAGATAAATTCACATATTGTCTATTATCCATGTTCAGCTGTGGGCAGTGGACAATGAACGGTTGACATTGATATAAAGATATTTTAAATAATGCTACATTATTATGCTATGGTTGCCTGGGATAGAAAGCAATTTATTATTAACTCATCCTTTTGCACTATGTACTTACGTTGAATAAATTTGTTATTACGTATAATGTTATAATATATATTGTATTGCAATCATTCACATAACAAATAAAGTATTTAGTATTGTTTTGAAATTATTGATCTAGCTAGAAGACTTGATGCTAGTCAAAGCTGGTTGTCATTACATTTATACTTATGTACATGTCAAACATAAAAGGCTGTAAAGATTCTGTATGAAAAAAAGTTATTTTGACTGGTTTAATTAATTTATAAAACTTTAATAGGTATCGAATAATATAACCGAAGAGTTGCTATTTTATGTAGTATGATTTTCTTTGTGAGGTGGGCGGTGCGGCTCGATGCGACGAGAGGGAGCTCGCCCTACGCTGCACCACTGACCTATTTTGAATCTTCGATAATATTTCAGTTCTTACGAAACTATGTCTTAGCGCAGTGGAAATGCATTTTATTGGCTTTGTGTTTTAAATATTCTTTAAAATTCTCTAATTTTAGATAGAGTTTGAAATACATCTTCAAATCACTTTAACAAATTTTTAAAAATATATAAATTTAAAGAATTGTGTAATTTAAGTAAATATTCTAAGTGCATAACACTGTCATTAAAATATTAACAGTAAATTTAATTTAGGTATCAACTCGGTATGTTTATACATTTATTATAAAGATTTTCAAAACAAAAATAATCCTGAGTATTTCATCCATGATATTAAACGTTTTATTTTTATAATAATACCGTAAGTACGAGTACTTAAATATTTTCTAGGACGAGTTTAAATTTCTTGCGGTGAACCGAAAGCACGTTATATGGCGATTGGAAATAGAACAAAGGAATTTAGTTAGTTGTTTATAGAATCCACTGCACTATGCATCTACTTGGTATGAAAACAGTGTCCTGGTGTCCTGATTAACCACGGGCGGTATTGCATCTGTGTGCCTGTGTATACGTATATAAATATATGTCGTTGTAAGTACCATACACGTGTTAGATCACTGTAGTACGTGTAGGAGGTATTGGTGTATGTACTTATATACTTACACATTTGTAAATGACATAGAGGGGGTTACATTCATTGTAATGTGTAGTACTATAATGGTTACACTATCATATTATATACAAAGTATATATAGATGTACAATTATATCTAGATTTATTTCTCAAATTATAAAGCTATTGAAGAACATTCTTAATATAATTTTGTAAGATTGCTTTTTGTTTATGTGATGTTATTGATTATGTCTAATAAGTTTACACTAAGCAGGCTACTGTTTGGGTTTAATTTTAAGTGACATATAAAATGCTAAATAGCGTATTTTTATTATTGCCTATATGGAAGATTGGAGATATAATTGAATACTTATTATTGAACTTTAAACTAATAATTAACAACGCGAATTTTTAAGTCACGTATAATAGATTTTTTTTTCAGTTCTACAAAATCGTTTTATTTTTATTTTATCTCCCTTAATATCAATCGCGATTAAATACTTTTCTAGTTCCTAGTGTTACTACACGTATGCATTTCATACGTGTAGTATATAGTGGATAAATACTCAGTTACATGAGTAGGTAGTTAATCTATTTACTGAAGAACGAGGTCAAAAGAGGGGATGCTTAATTAGTAAGAGTTTAATATAGTTTACATACATAGAGCTATAATTGTGAATTTAACTGCTGGAATGCCTTAAGAGATGAAATTAAAATACTTGTAACTACACTACAGTTAAGTTTTTTTATAGTTTGAATTATTTAGTAATTAGTATTGACTTGTGTAAGTTATTGTTTATTTATCTATATTTTTACGTTAGGACATTAATGTCAGACACTTAAATAGGTAAAATTAATATTAATTATTTACAAATTAATTCCTAGTTTTATAAGAATTAACGGTTACAATTTTATAATATAAAAAAAAAAAAAAAATTGCCACGATAAATACCGTAGTATATACATTGCTTGAACGTAGATTTCACAACGGGACCATCAAGCAAGAATAATGATTACGTACTTGTTCTATACCTGTAAACAAAGTGTTTTTATCATGAGGAAGTGTATTCTAGCACGTTGCAATAAGACAGATATTGGCTAGAAGTTATTCTATGAATAAAGAACGGCTGGTGAGGCATAAAATGCCGGTTTGTTGTTGCGCCGTCTCTTTCTACTGCGAAATACGGAGATGATATTGATTTGTTTTCATGGCGTCTCTCTTTTACTTGTGGGCGCGCATAAGTCGATTTCACCCGTGTGACCTTCCTTATTTGTACTTCAAGTACGCGGTCAGATAAGTTGTTTTCGTGTCATCTCGTTCTGGCACTAGAAGCAAAAGCAAATGAGGAAGACGCCATTAAAGGTACGATGTGTTGGTGCGTGGTGTTGGCGGCCTGTATTTTTATGTGTGTGTAAAGTGTAGATGTGTACGTGGATCAGGGATAGATCTATGATGGAACTTCGTAAGTATTCATAACTGTAACCGTAACCGAAACCGAAACCACTTTGTTAAAACTACTTATAGACTTACAGTACTAGTACAGAAATAGAGTAATTTACAATAACATAGTATACTATGGTATACCTATGTTATTTTGATGAAAAAGTATTCTGAAAAGTTCTCATTATCTTAGGTATGATATGTGTAACTTATTTTAATGTAGACGTAAAGTTTTCTGTAATAATTTAGTACGGACAAACGTAGGATGACATCATTAATTTAATTCAAAGGTTGAATTATTTCGAAATATCTAGTTTAATAATAAATACGAGGTATGATTTATCAGCTTCCATTACTGATTTCAAGCGGTAAATAAGACGTGTCTCCTGGATTTATAATATAATTAATTTCTATAAACAATTACTATCACTAAGGTATGATATCTGTGACATTGAATTGGAAATATTTATAATTATAATATTTTGTTGTATTGTTACTACTACAAATATTTGAAGTCGATAATTTATCTTATACGTTTATATTACAGATACTGACTGGTACTGTTTAAGCCTATAAAAATATTAATTATTAATGAACAATTAATTAATCATTGTTTTAATGGATTAAAGGTAAGCAACAGATTTTCTTTGTTAATTTTGTATTAAAAAATACATTACCTTATTAAGAACCCGCAATGAATAAAAAATAATCGTCATTATGCCAATTTAAAGTACCTAACATAAAGCTTGCTATGCCCGGTACTATAAAATGCTACGATTGTATTATATAATTCAAATCATAGACAAATAGAAACAGATCACGTAAAAACTATAAATTTATATAAAAACCAAGCTAGTCATTACTATTTAGTAAGTACTTGCCTTACGTTACATTTTTAACTGTACAGTTTATTGTAGCGGTTTATCCTAACGTGAGTGGCTGGCGTTAAAAATCAATGCCTCGAATCCGGAAATCCGTCACGAGTCATGTTGTGATATTCAAATGTCAATGTCATGCACAAAAATGTCAATGTATTATAATTATTATCTTTTACAAAAATTATAAATAAGTAGGCCAGAACTTAAATAAATAAACCATTTAAATAATTAAACAACTTCCTCTTTTTATTTTAGTTAATACAGGTTATTTCAGTTATCAGTTTCCGATGAAATTATGAGTAAAAGAAACTAATATTAATGTAATAATGTACCGATTTGTTCATTAGTTTTTTATTTAAATTGATGGAATGACAGGTTAAAGCACAAGACAAAGAGGGAGCTTTTTTAAACCGGGATTAAAAATCTCGCTGGTAAGTACCATAATACTATCATTCATTAGTTCGTTTAATTGCTTTAGGATATTTGTATTAGATCAGAATAAAACAACTCTTTGAAATGGTTTAGCTAGAATATAAATCATTTTATGACATATCAATATTTTTAAATAATTAAAGAAAAAAACGTCATGTGTATGGCGTGCTTATGTTGACATGAATTTAACTATAGACCTATATAATTAACCATTTCTATTTCAGGGTACTTATTGATGGACGAACGAAGTCGTGTAATGTAACAGATAACGTTACACTATATTAACAAACAAATTAATGTAAAGTATCCAAATTGCCACGTTTTGTTTCTGAATTCATACAATCTTTCTCTTATATGTAGACCTAACTGTGAAAGAACGATTAAAGATACTACGTAATATGTTATGTAAAATTTTAAGGAAATTAAAAAATAAAAACAATCTTTTAAGCTTGATAGACGTCTTTTGCTGCATGTTTAATGACCTTAATAAAAAAATAATAAGTCCTTATTAAAAAAAAAAAAAAATTTCACAGGTTGTTTGAACGGTTTCAGGATGTGACTAGTTCCTATGTGAACCAATGACTTATTAGTTTTATATGTGGGAAATTCTTTTCAATTAATTGCATTATGGTATCGCATAATATTAAATTACGTAGTACCGTTTGACGAGCTATCAAAAGTGGCTAGTATTAAAAAGGTTGACCGTCTCAGCGGCCCTTGGCCTATACAAAACAAATATTTTATTGAATGGTCCTAAGTATGAATAGAAAGTTGAATAAATTTGTCTCACAAAGAGGCTAAATGCAACAATCTCATAAGGTAGAAAGAGAGGGCACGCGCAAATTGTACTGTGACATACTCCGGCACCCCATAGGCAAGGGACTAAAAGCATTGCAGGTCAGTGAACTGACGATAGCTTCATCCCTACCTTTTCTCATTCTTACTTAGAAGACCCCCTGTTGGGCCTAGACACGTTTATCGTCAAATCCCTCGATATAAAATACTAGCTGAAACTAGTTTCAGCTAGTTAGAGTTATTTTGCTCGTGTCGACATTTTAGATTATTTGTTCAAAGTCAACCACATTTCATAGAAACTCTCAAAAAAGAAAACTTTTTATTTCTTTGAATTGGCAGTATTTTATTACTTATAATATTGCACTGATATTTCCCGTCATAATTATAATTTAATTAGAGACGGATAAACTTGAAATTAATCAAGATTGCAATAGTGTGACATACTTTCGTTAGACAAAGAACAATCTACAGGTGGCGTCGTGCGTGGATGCATTGAACCCGGGTTAAAAACATACCCCTCGCTGGCACCCTCCGCAGACGCAGGGGTGGTAGGCACGCCCTCGTCATTTGGTGTTTTAACTTCACTCTGTTGTAGTTATGTTGTGGCAATACGATATACACAAAGAAAACTGGAAAAAATGTTTGGTCCGGTAGAAAGAAAGTACGCAGCGCTCATTTGCCTCTCTCATTGTTTGATGAGACAGAAATTGTGTTTGATTTTTTATCGAACACGAACGATTATCAGTGTAGTCCAATTGAATAATAATATTGGATTAATTTTATCGACACTTTGTGAATTATGACGTAAAATTACGTTTTTACGGACTTTTTTTTTTATTTGACTAAAAATAAAACATTGCATTATGACACAAAATTAAACAAATTTACCGTATTTGTAACGAATAGCACGTGAACAAGTGTGTCAAAAGTAAAATGATATTTATATATTTGGTATTTCTACGTACTGCAAATTACTGTGTAATTGTGCATCATTCTTAAGTTAAAAGTGGGTCGAAATAAACAATTAACGTCATTATTCGCGATTTATTAGCCTTATTATTAAGCAGATATTTAATATCAATTTTTAATTATATATTGATATACTTTAGTTGTTGTAGCTTTAGTAAAAATATATGCTAATATTTAATTTCTATGTATTAAGGTATCTAACCTATACTATACAGCTATTATACAGTTAGCAATCAGTTTCATTAATATGTAATTTACACCTAAGTAGGTACCTTTATTTCTGAAAATATTATCTTCAATAATATAATGTTATCAATATAATGTCCGATATATTCAATTTACTTGTTAATGAAAGAACTAATTAACATTGTAATATAGAATCTATTTATATGATCTATATATATGTATACTTATATGATACGTATAATTAATAACTATTCAGTTTCGTGATATTAAATATACATAGCAACCAGAATCTAAATATAATAACAAATCTTTGTTTTTAGAAATTTATGTTAGGTAGGTAGGTAAAGTAAGACAGCAACTCAAATGGTATGCCCATTTGACTCTAACTTAAAAAAAAAATATAGGATTCTGTGAGAAATTGCCATAGGTTTTTTATATGCAATAGTGATTTAAGCAATTTTAATTCTTTTTAGAAAGGTAGATCTCAGCAGTATATCATTTGAAACATAAGTGCAGTCAGTTTTGCTTGTGAGTCATAGGTTCCAGATAGCAATCATGACAGTGGTGGCGGCGTCCGTTCATTCTGGCAAGGTGGTATTAAGCAGGAATAATGAATCAGCAGAGTGAAGGAGTCGCCAATCGACATGAGGCGCCGGTTCTCTGGTCACTGAACTCGACTAGCTCTGATGTGTTTCATTTTTACTTTTCCTCTCAATACAACACACAAGTATTTTTACCGTCTGTATTTATTAGTTCTAAACCTCTGTGAATATGTTCCAAATGATATCAATAAAAATATACTTGACAATTGAATACTTATAATAAAGTTGCAAAACGCAATTTGTAATTTGTGACATCATAGCGTTTTTTGGCAACCACTCAAACGTCTAAACTCAAAACGAAAGTTTTAATATTGCGATCGAAATACTTGTGTTACAGATTTGACATCGCAATAAACGTGATTTTACTTGTAAAATGGGAAGTTTATTGAACCCGCGGGACTACTCATTATCGCGTTTGATGAACTCGTGCCCGCCATTGTTCCACCCGGCGATCCTCGCTGGTTCGCGACACATACCTATATAATTTGGTCACTACTTATCCATTTACCGGTACTCATAAAGATACCTGTATGTTTGGACTGTTTTAAAACCCCGATATGTTTAAACGAATATGGATTTTATGTTTTTGCCCATTTTATCTTAAAGACAATTTAATTTAATTGATGTGTCGATAACTAATGTAGTTACCTGATGTCACGTCACTGTAAAAACAGCATACAAGTATTGCTGCTTTGCATTGCTGTAACGTTACCCATCTTGTAATAGTTTATAAGTTTTGACAAGAATAAAACAGAGTGATCCTGAGACATAAATTTGTAAACATTTGAACTGTCAAGAACGGACAGTGCCCCGGCCTCGGTGTCATTGCCCTGTCGATGCCGGTTAAAAAAACGCATTGCTACCATCATTCTATCCACCGACGCAGTTGCGAGGCGCACATTAGACATTAAGAAAATAGCTGAAATTATCTTCAATGTTCACTCTATTTTATTAATTTAATTTATATTGTATTTATTCCAGAACTACCTACGTGAATGGCAATTGTAGAAATTTTGGAATGTCATCACGGCGTATTAAATGGAGCGATTGCAGGTTACTTAGATTTTAAAAATATTATGAACTTTATATTGGTAATATTAGATACTTATTAATTAAAAATTGCCACCCACCGCGTGTCGTGTGACATGCAATCAGTAATTTTAGCCCTTTATGAACAAAGGTTGTTCAAGGTAGTAGAAGTTATTGTCCAATGTGGTTGCTTACACATCCATAATGACTGCTAACCGCAGCTGGTGTGCCCGGCCAGCGGATACTGGATTACTGGTCAATGTCTCTTCAGATAAGGTTTTTGACCGTACCAAGGTCGTCAGGATAAGGTGCGTGAACTTTATGGCGCCCACTTGCGAAATTAACGTATATTGATATTAACAAGCGAAAAATTGGCACGGATTATTAGATGAGGGCCGTATTGACAAGACGCAAAAAAGATAATTTATACTACACCGATATGCGCAGGGGTTATTAGAACGAAGGAGTCGTATAGTGTGGGGCGATGACCTGCAGAGCGAGATGGAGCGACAACAACTCTGAAGTTCGCGCAGTCCCGAACTCCTGCCTGCTAGACGCGCAAGCAAGACTCAAAACAACTTGTGGTGGTTTGACTTTTTGAATGTATTGTACGTGTACTTATTGAGAGCTTTATTAATTGATAAATGATGCTAAAACTAAAAATGTAGGACAAAACCGATAACTGAAAGAAATATTAAATGTAACACTATTATTGGTAATTAAATTATTAATTAATTTAATAATTTAATTACCAATAATTGTAATTAAATGTGGTAATTTGGTTTTCATGTTTTTAATTAGTAGGTATATACTTTTCTTTGATTTGTCAATTGTGGCGATATGTTGGTGAAGAGTCAATGAGTTCACTGTTTTAAATAAAATTAAATCGGTTAATAGCAAGCAGAGGCTAACCACAATTTTAACAATTCGGGGTTAATAAATTATATGGTAGATATTTCAATTGACTTCGAAATATTTTAAATTTTAATATGAATTACACTTTCTTATATTTGTAATAATTTATTGCATTATTATAAAATAAGGTCATTGTGATGATAGATTAAAACAAAGATCGCTGCTCACCGCTCCAGCTCTAGTAAATTGTGTCACCACTCTTTTAATTTCAAAATGTCGTAAGAGGATACTAGGGGAATCATAGATTATTATACAGAGTAGTACCTACGGAGGGGAAAAAGCACAATAGGTAATACACAAGGAAAGCTCTAATTAAAATCAAACGCATGACGAACTTGGTATCTAACTACTGGAAATAGTGCCCATGAATGGGATGTTATGATTATGTTGATACCAAGGGGAGTTTTATATTAGCGAGTAACAATTCACAAAATCTATGTAAATGAAAATTAATTATTGTGCAGTTGATAAGAGCTCTATCATTTAAGTACAGATGGACTGATCTAGTAGCTAATTTATATAAATAACAATAAAATTTCTTAAATTGTTTGTCCGATTAAGGTTTTCAGGTATAATTAGAGCCAGTTAATACTGATATATTGGACAAGACCAAATAATTCTTAAATATTTATTTTGAAATTGATAACCTGTTCCTAATACGTTGAAATATAGAATTTATATTAGAGCTAGAAGTCATGTGGATATGATTTATACACTAATAAATGTTTAAAAATCTGTTCTCATCTTTTGATGTAAGCTGTTTAGTTCCGTACCTAGTAAAGTACACTAGATTTTATCATTTTTGCCTTTTTAAAATGTGTTATAACCGTTACACATGATTATACACCTTGTGTTTTATCTATTACATTGTGCTAACACAAAAAAGTTGATCCCTAATGCAATCGTTGAATGTAGAACGCTTATGGATAGGTGTG